AAAGCTATGCTTATATACCACAATATCTGACTACCCATAAAAGGTATAAATATACAAGTGCTATGATACACCAGGTAAAGGCCGAATTACTCGTGCAGTATTACATAATGACATCTGATAGTAAAGCCAATAATTACAAAGGACTGCAATATATACATATTTATGAGAAAATGATATATGATTCCCATTAAGCCACCTTCTTGCAAAAATTCTGGATACAAGATACCTTTCTGGGAATTGAGTTTTTGAATTTTTTATGAAAACGTAAATCTTCTTTGCAACATAATGATTTATACAGATATGGGCGCAAAACATCACGATCTGTCTTCTCGTGTCATTAAAAGATGCTTTGTTTTGAAAGCAACAAACGGACACGTAAGGGAATAACCAAATGAATCATGTATTATTTAGATTCCTGATATTACAGAAAAGGAGGATTTGGATGAAGGAAAGTTGTGTTTTGAATAAATCAATAAATCTAATATAACTTGTTGGCTCTGTATTGCACAACACAGTAGAATGCTGAAACAGCGCTTTACATAACCTTTAGGACCCCCGGGTGTTCGAGTGATGTATAGCGCTCGCCCTTACAGTCTTACCGCTAATGGTTCGAGTCTCAGGTTCGGACAATGTTGGTGTGTGAAAAGCTTGACAGCCGATGGTTGTTACTGGGTTGTCTTTTTTTTTTTATTGAATTCTTCCTTCGCTAGTTATTCTGGCCGCAATAGCCAGTAAAGTGTTGAAAAATGATAATACACCCAAAACAAGAACAACATGACCTGTATGAAATGTCACGAATTAAATATTGTTTTGTGACATCGAATACAAAATTCACATGCAAGGAACTGTATCAATACAGCAATAAATCAAATTTAAATCATGGAATAAAATGACCATCTTACAATTCAACATAATTTTTTTTAATTAACAAATACATTAAAATCTAGTAACTACCAACAATTTCAATATATTAAACATAAGTGTTTGTTATTATTATTATTATTATTATTATTATTATTATTATTATTATTATTATTATTATTATCATCATCATCATCATCATCATCATCATCATCATCATCATCATCATTATTATTATTATTATTATTATTATTATTATTATTATTATTATTATTATTATTATTATTATTATTATTATTATTATTATTATTATTATTATTATTATTATTATTATTATTATTATTATTATTATACATGTACAAAGGACTTTTGATAATAATCGAGGTGAAATGCAACAAATTTTAATATAGGAAAAGATTATAAGGAAACGAGCATGTAGCTCCTACGATATATATATATATATATGTGTGTGTGTGTGTTTGTGTGTGTGCAAGGAAACCTCGCATGGGCTGTCTGCCAGAGACAACAGAAAAGGAAAACAGCGGTTGTCGTTAAAAAAAGTTCTTTGATTTTCTGTTTGCAAAACAAGCAGCAAGAAATCGGTGATTGCATTTTTAAAAAAATCCACAAAAAAGTGATTCAATTACAGGACAAAGACTTGATTCTATTCCGGTTGCTCTGATCAAGCACTTAAGAGGTTCTGTTCACCAAGGAGTTCTGGTCAAAGGTAATGAAGAAGCAGAGATCCGTTTGGGGCAAATCTGAAAGATGCAGCGTCATGATGTGTTTCATTGTGTCTGCAAGAAATACTGTAAATCATTCTGAAAATAGGTTTCAAAGCTTCTCTTCGATGGACTGCTTAGTCAATTTATGAAGGTGCTCGTGACAAGACAATCTGAGAATATGTATAGGTTCGATTGCTGTAGGATTCCTTATTGTCCATCGTTGTTTTATAATACGGCAGTTTCAAGCAATCGTCAATTACCCACAATGAAATAATTTCTGGCACAATATGATTAAAATTAATTAGGAAGATATACAATTTGAATGAGATTAAGATAATTATTTCAAACGCCAATCACAATGAAATACATAGCATATGGTCATCTCAAAGCAAATTATAACAAAACTAAACAAATTTCATCACTCAATAAATATTTTACAAGAAATGGAAAAGCCTTCTCATTTCAATAGTGAAAGGCTGTGGAGAAGAGAATATTTGTATTTATATCAGGAATCAAAAATATTTCTAAATATAATACAATTTCTAGAATGTGTTGAATAGACTTGTAGTGCCTCCTGAAACTTATATTTAAGAAACAGAATACAAACTGAAATATATGTCATCTATATTGAGTGAGGTGGTGTGCACAGGATATATTCATATTATTAGAAATGAGGTAAGTTGAGGTTTCTTGCACGTCGCATATTTAATGGGACTATGTATCAACGTTTGGCGAGCAGATTTGTTTCTATTTGTACATAGCTTTAAACTCTACATAAAAAGGCAAACGAACTGCTCAAACTATATGCATTATTTTATTTAAATTGGAAATATGCACAGTTGGGTCTCTCTCTATATCCTGTTCGTCTCTGTTATCTTAGCGTTTTCTTCAAAGCGTCACACTTTTATCAAAAATGAATAGCTGCCATTGCACCATTAGCCTGTTTACAAAAATAGTTATTTTTGTAATCATAAGAGAGATTAATAACAATTAAGACGTTTTGATCTACATTTTGATTAATATTTAATTAGTTTATTATGTATTTAATTATGTATGTTAGAAGAAGAACTCGCAGCCTGCACGGGGTGAGGTTTATTTAGAAATAACCCTTTGCCTCACAAATTTGTCACCACCAAAACCTCTTCATGTTGTTGCGTTAGTCAAATTGTTGGATATTCTATTTTCTACATATATCGTTACAAGGCAGTTCCTTCAAATGAGTTTTTAACAAATATTTGTCCGGTATTTAAAACAAAAAACCTCGAAATATATTTATGGTATTGATATTAAGGATTCAGTTTAGCTGTGCGCCGAACTTTAGAGATTTGGTTAGATATGAATACATCACAATGACGGCGGGGGGTATCAGAAGTTTCAAAATTGTTACGGAGACTTTTGATGCAAGTAACTATTTTAGGCTCAGTCAGTAGGCAATTTTGCTGCGACTGTATAATATTAAGTAGAGAAAAACCAATATGAGGCTGAGACTGTATCAAATTAAGAAGACAATACAAAATTAAGCTGAGACTGTACAATATTATTGATGATAAACATACTTTTTTGCATATATTAATTTCAATGCTTCATAGCCATTGTTGTAATAATAAACATGACCATCAAAGTCGTTTGTTTTCAGAAGTAATAACTATAAAGTGTTCTCTAAAAGATGGAAGCTGATACTGCCAACTTTAAGTTGATCCTATTGACGACGATCTAAAAAAAACTATGACATTTTTATTTTTTTCTCATCTGAAAAATCTAACCCCATCTTGGCTCAGTTCAGTAATAACAACATCCGAAAGTTTATAATTTACGCGCATACAATTTTTATTCGACTTGATATGTAGACAAGCAAGCCTACCTTCATTTACTTTTATATTTTCCTTTTGGCAACACTAAATTTACCACAACTTTATTGGTTACTATTGCAGGGGTAAGACGGGAATGTCAACAGTGGAGATAAATAAGCAGTCGCTGTAATTTGATATTTTGAAATGCCATACGGAACTGCCAATTAGCAGTATCTCATAAACTGATATATGCAATGCTACCTCAAAATGAGCAATAAATGTTAGGATATGAAACCAATAAATATAATTTCATGTATACGACTATCTTAGGACATTAAACAGGGGTTAAAAATGATAAAATTGAAGCTTTTTTTTTAAAAAAAATAAAATGTTGCATGCCACAAACATATATTGCTTACATCATCATCCCCTAACCTCTTCTCTTTTACCTCTGAAATTTTTCTTTCTTGAGGATGAGTGTAATGAGATGGAGGAGAACGAAAAGATGATATGAAATAAAGTAATATATCAAATTAATGAATTTATTATTATTATTATTATTATTATTATTATTATTATTATTATTATTATTATTATTATTATTATTATTATTATTATTATTATTATTATTATTATTATTATTAGTTAAAGGCACATAGGCGTACTCTTCGCATACCATGTACAGGTATTGATATATCTCGCTTAGGTATTGCAAAATAAACAAAGGCACAAAAAGATTACAAGTTGCATTAAAAGCATCCTATCAAGACAGCTGAGTATACTGCATATTAATATGTAAATAGGTTGTATTTGCCAAATATACACCCTGGACACTGGAACGTATGATCCACAATGAAAATTAGGATCTCCACAGCAGGTTTCACAGACATTTATAAAGTTTGCAATGTTAGTCCCCATACAAAGTATAGAACGTGACGGCAATAGTTTCCGTTACAGCTTCAAAGCGTCTTTAATAAAATAAAGCTAGCTGACATTTTTACATTCAACTGATTTTAACTGTGATTTCTCTTTTTTCTTGCCGTTACGAATCTTGCCCGTATATATCGTACTTAACCAACTACAAGAAAATAAAAAAAAAAATAAACAAAGACTGCATCGGCTGACGGTGTGATGGCAAAAGCAAGGTGAACGTGAGTGTATCTCAGTAAACGAAATACAATTTGGAATTTTGATAAGTTCAAAGCAAAGTGAACGAAAATGAGATAGGATAGAGTAATATAGTTCTGGCAAATATTTTTACGTCTTTTACGATAACTACAATCTGCTTGTGTTTTTAGTGATACCTTTTTGCACCTGTCGATCTTCAAGTGCGTCTATTTATTTTTTCATCCATTTAGATCAACTAATTAAAAATGTTACTCAATAGTTGAGCATGGTGTATGTTGTAGAAAAATAAACTAATATCTTTCATTCTTTAATGCTGAAGTAGTTAGCATATTGTCAGTTACAATTTTCATACCTTATTCATACCATAATAAATTATTCCCGTAAGACTGTATACGTTTGGTAGTTACCTTAACACAATTAATAAATAATAAGACAATGAATATATGACATATATTAGCAGCAACCAAACATGGGGGTCTTTTACCACCAAGCTTGTGACCGCTCCGGTGGCCTAGTGGTTAGAGCGTCCGCTTCAGATGCGGGAGGCCGCGAGTTCGAACCCCATCTGAGTCATACCAACGTCTTTAAAAAATGATACTAACAGCTTCCTCGCTTGGCGCTCAGCATTAAGAGAGGTTTTGTGTGTGTGTGTGTGTGTGTGTGTGTGTGTGTGCAGGTGAAAGTCCTTCTGAATGATGAGACGAATGCATGCTATTTCGAATACCATACTTGTTCGTCTGATTGGTTTAATTGTAATTTATGAAGATACGTTTATGCCAGGTAAATTATGTACATCAATATAATGGTGTCACAATAATATGTCTATGCAGTTCTTAACAAAACTCAGTTTTGAACAGATGACAGACTGGATTTTTTTCTTTTGAAATTTGAAAGACGTAATAGTTTATCAGTGACTGCTATGTGTCTCAATCATCCAGCCTTGGGTCTGTACATGTAAATAATGATTGTTCAAATTTTGATAGCAGATTATTCATCTCATAGCTAATATATCATTTGCATCCGTCAGTGTCCGTCTGTATGTTTTCACTTTTTGGTCAAAACTACTGTAGTATAAAATCTTATTTTAAGTTGAAGGATTATCTATCACAACCGAAAGAGGCTTGCTATGTTCTATGGCACCCCCGTCTTCAAATATTGTTAGAAAATCGTCTTCGGAGTTTCTTTAGAGAATCAAGTCTTCGAATATTGTTTATAGAGTCGAGACTTGTGATTTGTTTCTATAGATTTTAGAAGTCACTGTTTTGAAAAATTCGCCAATCTAAGGCTTTGTAATCAGGGACGTAGACCGGAAGCAGTATTAAAGGAAGACTGCTCTCTTGCTGCATTACAAAATTGATTTTATTAACAACTACGACCATTCATGGTTTGATTCATAGTAGGTAGTTTAATGTTTGAGGTACTAATGATATGGAAGAATGGAAACCAGTTTAGAAATGGATGGACATAAAATAGAATATACATGGGTTTGGCTAGCTAGTAATGAATGATGCTGAAAGTAAAACTTTAGTGAAAAAAAACTTTTGTCAGTTTGTTCCAGTTGAAACTGGCAAAAAATAAAGATAATGTTTAATTGATGGAATTTGGAAATCTCTTTACTGACATTAGCACCGGACTCTTTGCGAAATTGAAAGCAGCGCATGTTGAACAAAAATGAATAGATCCAGAAAATGCCGCCGTTAATATGGTTTAATCAACAAAGAAACTGTCATCAGGGATGTGTTTCTAAATACATATATGTTTGATCATAAGCATTCAGAGTTAATGAATATTTAAAATGGTTTATGCATAAATTTACTAGGGAGTATCCTGGTCCATAAGATATCCTCATTCTGCCCATTGCAGAGAGATTGGCAACTTTTGTCTGTTTATGAACTTCACCGACTTGTTAACAAGTGTGTTGCCTGGTTCGAAGCAAGCTTTTTCGATCAACCACTGTTGGAGACTACAGGTCGATGGCAGAAAGTTGAATGAAGATAACAACCCCATGATAGCAACGAATAAAGGTCAGATCGTTGACCGCAAAGTAAGATAATGAAATTAGGATGAAAACACTTCAAAGAGTCTAATTACAAATTAATTAAATTTCTAGGTGTTCTCCTTTGATCCAGAGTTATATTCTAACAATAGACGTGATATCTAAATTTGGCTTCATACATTAAAAAGTATTATAGCCGAATGCTTTATATAAAACATGCAAGATACGATCGCACACTTTTGAACGGTCATGGTATATACTCAGCACGTCTAGCGAAGCGGCAAATCATTACCCACAAAGAGCTGAAATATTACTTTCATTAATGTACCTTATCCTGCTGTATAGATCTGTCAGATCGACCTACGTTTTATCTTCTTGCTAGACAGGTCCTTATCGAATTTCTGCATTAATTCATAGGTAATAAATTGACCATTTACCCTAATCTAGGACATTGTAAGCCATTCTGGTCGATTTTCAATCATACTTCACCAAACGTATCGACCTAAAATATTGTTTATTTAAAGATGTCATTTCAATGTGTCTACAGTCTAATGGTGTATCGCGCGTTATTAAGAACAGAAAATAAAAGTAAATTGTTGAAGTTTTATGAATTAAACAATTTCATTGTGAGTTTCCCTGAGAAAGACGCTTCTGCAAATACTTTGTTGCAGAGATTAAGAATACAAAATTAGAAACAAAACACAAACAATTATTTTAGAAACGATTCAAAACGTTTCTTTTTCAGAATTGATGGAATAGCTTGAAATTTTAGATGTTATTATTCGAATATTTAAATTATCTTCGACACATATCCTTTAATATATTATCATAACATACACATATTTTATATTCTTTACATTGCAAACCACATTATAATACGTGTTATGAAATAATTGGAAAGTGAAAACGTAGCAGATGAAGAGACACTGAATTTTTGTTCTTTAAATTTATTTTGTCTTAGGAGAAAACAAATCGCAAAAGAGAATTATTATTAAGGGTGTGCTTTCGCCGTTAGGTTTCAAGGGTATACCCTTTATTGTAAACTTACAGATGATAACACAATTTTTGTTACTTAAACTGTAACCATTTCAGTCGAATAACTCGTTAAAATATTTACAGATATTTATTTTATTGCATTATGTTTCTCTCGTTATCCTATTTTTAATCGAAGCTTTTCATGCATCTTGCAAAGCTATCAAATTCAATATCACAAAACATAATTAAAGGATTCCATTTTTGTGAAAAGAAAAGAAAAGACATATTTCGAATCAGATTAGAGACTAGCTAACTCTGTGGCGCCATAATGTCCTGAAATTAGCCCTACGTTTTCTCTCAAGGTCCTTTTATACTTCTGGTATTTTCTCTCTGAGATATGGCTGTAGACGCTTCGCAGGTATGAAAGATGAAGATAATATTAAAATTATAGAAAGACTTGTAGTTTTTACCCCTTCAATCACATGATTTCAATCAAGTGCGGCATGAACGATCTTAGCAAACTCAAGGCCCGATTTGGATTATTTTGGCTGAGCCTCCTGGATTTATATGCAGGGACTCATGTGAGCACGGCATTTGAAAATTAACTTTTAAAACGTTTTTGTATACTGAACTTAAATTTTCTTTCATCGCTTTACATTTTCTCTCTCTCTCTCTCTCTCTCTCTCTCTCTCTCTCTCTCTCTCTCTCTCTCTCTCTATATATATATATATATATATATATATATATATATATATATATATATATATATATATATATATATATATATATATATATATATATATATATATATATATATTTAAAACGCCCCCGTGAGCACAGGGCTCGATTGGGCCAAGTCGGTACAATCCGCCTAAGGCTGACACTGAAGTGCAGACTTAACTCCAATCTACTTATAAATACACTTTCAACAACTTCAAAAAAGCCTGTACTTGAAAAAAAGGGATCAGGACACCCAACAGGACACCCAATTAACATGCCTAGTTTACCGAATATTTGGATCAAAAAAGGGCTTCTATCAATATACACATTAAATATACAAAATGGTGTCAAAAGGGAACAAAAGTAAGAGTTTAGAAATGCAAGGATTCGACTTGGTTAAAGTTTATTTTAAATGTTGAATACATCGCAAACTGCAATAGCAAAGCACGAGCAGATTTAAAAGGACTTCTGATGTGATTTCACATATGAAATGTCATGAAGTCTTATTCTTTGATATAATTCTTAGAACCGATAAATAATATATATGCAAAGTTATCCCAAACATTTCGAAGTGCTTGTAAAAATTATAGAATACATTGTGAGAAGCTAAGTCATGTAATTATACCGATACATTATATATATATATATATATATATATATATATATATATATATATATATATATATATATATATATATATATATATATATATATATATATATATATATATATATATATATATATATATATATATATATATATATATATATATATATATATACGGATGCAATATCTTTTTGACATAGTAATTATCTGTGATTAATTAGGTTAGTGTTGGTTGTTGCAAAGTTAACTTCATTGTCAAATTATAATTGTTCAGAAACGCCATTCTAAACGGAAACCTTTTCTGCCAAAAAAGAACACTTAGTGATGAAGTAATCCGAAAAATATAATAATTCTCAAACTCCTAGTACGAACAAAATCAAGTTTAAAGTTGCAATAAATGGTTTCACTAATACAAATTTGTAAAATGTGGTGTGTTCCTTCGCCTATCGTAAACAAATTGTGACATTAAAACCCGTTTTAGTTTTAAAGCATGCGATAATTGCATTTCACTAACAAATAATTATTCTAACCCTGCTTCTGTTAGATGCTTTCAACACATAAGAGATTCGGTTCCAAACATTCATTTGCAGGAAAATGAAAAAGAATGTCACTAAAATAAAAGAGTGCAACAACACACACTGAAAGCGGACACCTGATGTTAGCTGATCAGATATGTTGATACATCAAAGGCAGATGCAATCTATTTAAGATCGAGATAGATGCAATTTGATTAAATTAGAGATCTCTGAAATAATTTAGATTTAACAGAATACAGACAAGTTCATGTTCTACTGATCCCTGTAATTCTCTGTGGACCAAATTTTAGTAACCTATCAGATACAACGCAGTATTTCGTTGTAGGAAAAGTTAACGTCATCAACTATATTTTCCGAAAAATTTTTGTTTTTATTCTCATCACTGTAAGAGGTTTAATTTGACTGGTTAAACAAAAAGTTAACAGAACATGACCTCGTAAAGGGTGTCTGTCATATGCACTTATTGATAAGTACATTTCCATTTGAATCAGATTGGCGATTGATAGAAAGACAAAAAATGTGAAGAAAAAATGAAATTTTTTAAACTTGTTAAATTTTGTATTATTGTTACTAGTGAATACGATTTCCATACTGTACCTAACGGTCCCCAAATATTTGAGTTGATTCAGGCTTTAGTCAAACATGCAGCTAGAACACATTGCAGCTGTTGGCTACTAACGAGCAATGGGAAAGGGGTAAGACGAGGCGGTTGCCCCGACTCCAGAGATCCTGTAGCGCCA